CAGCAAAAGGTGGGGCTGGGGCGGCCCCGCAGGGGAGGAAGCACCTGTGCTGGGGAGCCTCGGTGGGCGGCAGGGCCCTCTCCCCGCCCGGCCGGCCCTCCGCCTGCCCAGCCCACCTGCAGCCGAAGGACCTTCGGCGGGGGCTTCCCCTGCCCCGACTTGCAGCCCTCGGCCACCCCTCCATCCCGGTCTGCCCTTTCCCTTCTTTCCTTTGCAGGAATTACTTGAATTTTGTCACAGAAGAGATGATTAATCCTTACAGGTAGGTTCCCGATGTGTTCTCCAAACCTCAGGGGAGCGGGCTGGGCTGGGCTGGTCTGGTCCGGGCTGCGGGTGAGAGGCAACCCGGCAGGGCCTCCTGTCCCGGGAGCGCTTCCCTGACTCACCCATGACGGGGGGGGCGCCACAAGTGGGAGAATCCGTCTCTTCCGGACGGGGGGCCCTTGAGTGAACTGGAGAAGGCCGGGCTGTGCCGTTTCCGGAGTTTGAAGAAGTTGCCTCTTCAACCAGAACTCCAGGAATTCACTGCTGGTTTTGTTTTTGTTTTTTGTTTTGGTGGGGGGAGGAGGAGAGTGGCCTTCCCCAGAGAAGGAGCTGCTCCGAGTTCGGGAATCACCTGTTCTGTTCTGTTCACGTCTTCCTCCCTTGGCCTGGAGTTCAAGTGTCTAAAGCCAAACCCTGCAGCCTTCCGTTCCACCCTTGGGGGGCTTCAAGACCAGGAGATCCCTTGGAGTCACTCTGGGGGTTCTCTGCCTTTTCCCCCCCCCACCCAAGAAATTGCTCAGGCTGCCTCCCCCCCAGTCCCGGCTACAAAGGCTGGGCAGAGGCTCTCCTCCTTCAACCGACCCCCTGAAGGGGGCCCTTGAGAACCTTTGAAGTGTTCTCTCCCCTGACCCCCCCTCAACCCCAACCCCTGTGGCTCCCTAATTAATTGGTGGAAAGCAGCCCGTGTGCTTGGCTTTCTGCCTTGCCGGTTGGTTTCGCAGACTAGGAAGCAAACAAGACTGTCTTCCTTTTTTCTTGGCGTCTGTGTTTGTTTGGCTTCCCTGTGTGTCTCGTCCCCACCACCACCACCCCCCAGCCCCTCCGCCTGCCGCCCTCCGGCCGTGGGTGGCTGCAGCAGCTGACCCAGCCAGGCCTCGGCAGTCAGAATGGCCCTCTTCTTTGTTCTGTGGGAACTGGGTCATGTTCTTCACAGGGTGGGGGGGTGGCTTTGCAGGGCTTAAAGCCACAGGCTGGCAAGGGCGCCGTTGCGGGCAGACCTCTGAATGAATGGCTTTGGCCGGGGGGGGGAGCGAGGGGACAGGTCAGCGAGAGTCAGGGGTCACGCAGGGTGCAATCCCATACACCAGAGGCAGGGGCAGGCACATTTCGGGGGCCCAGGGGCATTCCTCCTCTTCCTCCAGGTGCCACCGAGGACTGGGCCGCCCCGCCCCCCAAAGCAGGCACTCCTTGCTTTCTACAAAATGAAGCCCCAGGGCATGTATGCGCCTTGTTTCACAGGAGAATCATACCACTGCGAGCCCAGTTATCTTTTTCAGTGATTAGTGGTGATTTGCGGGGAGGGGCGCCAAGGCCTGCCGGTCGCCTGCCCCCTCCACGTTGCCCACCCCTGCTACGATGCAGTTGTCTGGCGGGAAGCCCCACCAGATTTGCTGGACTGACCTCTGTGTAGAGACTGGCCCTGTTAGAGTAGGCGTTTCTCTGTCCACGGATGTCAGACTGCAACACCGCCACAGTGTGGATGCTCTCCCGGTCTGCAAGAGGGGCATCCCCTGTGAGCCGGTTCTGCTGGTGCTGCTTTTTCTGCACTGAGAATCGTGTGAGCCACCTGGCCCTGGACATGAGGCCAACGTCCCTTTGCAAAAGGTGCTCCGGCTGTCTGAACAGGCAACACCCCATTGGTCATGATGATTAATGTTGAACTCCTAAACGGACTTGCAGAGCCTCTTTTACATCTGTTTTTTTTTAATCTGGTTTTTATACTTTACTTTGAGAAGCCTGGTGGGCAGAAGAAATGATAAGTGAATACTTCAAGTAAGCAAATACGTATATTTCCTTCTGACACACATCAGTTCACTATAAAACAACTATTAAATTCATCTCCCTCGGCACCAGGCTCCTTTTGCTTGCATGCTGGAATAATGGTGTGCTTAGGCAGCAGGCCAGGCGACCCATAAGCTGATCTGAGAATTAATTGCTAGCACAAGCTCTAACTGAATCCTCACGGTGTGTTAATGCAAATCCTGTTTTCCCCCTCAGAAACCTGCCTTTGGCCATCATCATCTCTCTCCCCATTGTCACCTTGGTTTACGTCTTGACCAACCTGGCATATTTCACAACGCTCTCGGTGGACGAGATGCTGTCGTCCGAAGCCGTTGCCGTGGTAAATATGAAATGACTCATTTGGAAAGCAAGAGCGTCTGGTTGTTATCTAGATGACACTCTGAGCGCTGGCCGCGCAGTCTCTGCCTTGAGCTGGGGCTGAACCTTTTGCGTCCTCCGTGTCCCCAGTCGGCCACCAGGATTGACGTGATGAGAAGCCAGGGCAAGCAGGGAGGAGGGTGGGGGTGGGGGTGCCTCTGCTTTGAAAGGTGAAGGGCTGCCCCCAGCAAAGTCCTCTCGGGATCACTCACCCCAGAGTGACATTCTGCTCGTCAAGCGCTCCCATCCGCTTGGGGCGGGAGCTGCCCCTTTTCTCCGCTGACATGCGCTGCTGCTTAAAGGACCCCTGGCTTGGTCGTCGCCTTCATTCATGGAGGCGCAGCTGCAAGAGGGAGAGTCTGCAACCTGTTGCAGCAAAAGCAGAGAGTGGCTTTTATATGGTACCTTGAGGCCTCGACACGTTTTCTGTGGCAGGGGCTTTGGTGGGTGCCAGCCTGATTCTGGGAAAGTCCTACAAAAGCTGATGCCAAATGAAACATGTCCGCCTTCAAGATGATTGAGAGTTCTTCTTCATGGTCCCTGTGAATGCACACTAATGGGTTTATCCGCACCTGGAGGCATTCTTACCAACCTAGGGGGTATCAAGACTATCAGAGGCCCCAGGGTCAAAGCTACCAACCTGCACCTCCTAGGCAAGTGGGCAGGCAACACCCCTGCCAGCAAAACCACCGACAAGATCGCAAAAACAAGCAGTCTTTTTAATAGTTACAACTTCTCTATTGTTGACTCGTCAGTCCCTTTCTTGCACTCCTGGCACTCCATCACATCTGACTGTTGGGTATTATCTATCATCACCACTGGCTACACTATAGAATTAAATACTCCCCCCCGCATCACAGGCCATTTCAAGTCCTCCACCCCTTTGGAAGATGAAATTCAGGCCCTACTAAAGAAAGATCACATTATTCCTTGGCATCTCCCTGATGTTTCAGTAAGTTTCTGTTCAGGCTACTTTACCATCTCCAAGAGGATGGAGGCCTCCATCTGATTCTTAATCTTCACGGCCTGAATTCTTTCATTACTCCTCGCAGATCTCCTATGGTTTCGCTCAAGTCTGTTATTCACATGTTACGTCACGGGGATCGGTTCACGGTCATTGCCGCTTAACGCCACAGTGGTCACTCCAACTGGTTCTTCGAGGACTCATAAGGCCTCCCTTTGAACCCTTGGCTTCTGCTCTGCTCCGCTTGTTGTTGTCCTTCAAAACTGCCTTCCTCCTGGCAATAACCTCAGTGTGGAGGGCTGGAGAACTAGCTGCGTTGAGGGCAGACCCTCCATTCCTGCAGTTTCACCCAGACAAGGTGACTCTACATCCGGAACTTACCTTTCTCCACAAGGTTTCATCTTCTTTCCACTTGAATCAGCCAATTGTGCTTCCCGCTTTCTTTCCCTCACCAACCTCACCACTCAAAAAGGCTCTACACTCCCTAGATGTCAAGTGAGCTCTCTCATATTATATCCACCACACAGCCACCTTCCATACGTGTCACGTTCCCAGGGGATTCAGCAGGCGAGAGTCCAATAAGCCAGTCCAAGGTCAGTAGTCCGGGATATACAAAACATGCCAAATCATCAAAGCCAAAACACGAACCGTAGTCAGAAGTCAGAATCCGAAAACCAAGGGTTAAGAGAGCAAGGTTCAAGACAAGCAGGAGAATTGACTTGTTGCTTCCACACGCTTCCAAGGCTGTAGGTACAAATTATATAGGAGCAACAATCATCAACCTCTTAGAAACATTCCATCCTGTTAAACCTCAGGACTGGTCGACCTGATGTTCCTGGGTGAAGCATTCATACGAGCCTCAGATCTTCATGTTGTGAGTCTCTGCCAAAGCTTGTCCCTTACTCTGGCTACTGGGGGAGGAGAATCTGGTGGTGATTCAGCTGTCCATGATTCTAATTGCCCAGCATTTTCCTCAGCTGTAATTAACCCCTCTGGTTCCAGATCTTCTTCGGTTGAACTCATGACACTACGACACGACTCTTTGTTGCCTTTGCTTGTCCCTCTATGGGTGCACCAGCTTCCTGTCAGACCATCTTGAGATGGATTGTCCAGACCATCCGCTTTGCCTATGATATTTAGCTGAGACTCCTCTTCCAGGCCCAGTCAGAGCTCACTCTACAAGAGCTGTAGCGTCCTCAATGGCCTTTCTGTGCAGGGTAGGCATTGCAGACATCTGCCGAGCTGCCGCATGTGCCACTCCATCTACCTTCATCTCCCATTGCTGCCTAGATATCCGGGCCAAGGCTGAGGTTACGGTAGGTCAAGCTATCCTGGCGTTGGCACTTTTGTGACGTCCCTCCTCCAGGTAAGTGAGCTTGCTAGTCACCCATTAGTGTGCATTCACAGAGACCATGAAGTAGAGGAAGAAGAAGAGGTTACCTACCTGTAACTTTGGTTCTTTGAGGGGTCCTCTGTGAATTCCCGCCACGCCCTTCCTCCCCGCTGCCCGTCACATGCTGGGCAGTGGCGGTCAGTTCCATGGAACTGAGGCATTTGGTGCTGGGGGCAGAGTTACAGGCAGCATTGGGGAGGTCCTGGCACCATGTGCTCAAGCTAGAAAAGCGCAGATTAACCTGTTAGTGTGAATTCGCAGATGACCACTTGAAGAACCAGAGTTACAGGTAGGTAACCTCTTTTTCTTGCTTGGTTCTAGTGACACCATCTCGAAAATGTCCAGGGTGTGGGCAGGTCATTTTGTGTGACAGCAGAAGCTTGGTTCTAGTGACACCATCTCGCAAATGTCCAGGGTGTGGGCAGGTCATTTTGTGAGTCTTAATGTTTGCATTTTGAAGCTGTTTTAAAAACAAGAGGGATAGCACAAGCAACCTCCCGCTGGCTCTGAGAGTGATCTCTCTTCCCCCACCCCATCCCCACTCCCTTTGCCCTCCCCAGGACTTTGGGAACTACCACTTGGGCGTCATGGCCTGGATCATCCCTGTCTTTGTCGGCTTGTCCTGCTTTGGCTCAGTCAATGGGTCGCTCTTCACCTCCTCTCGGTACGTGTCTGGCTCCGTTGGGGGGGGGGCGGATCTTCCCCTTTCAGTCAATAGGGGGGAAGGCCTGTGGCTGCTGTCGGGGCCCCAAACTGCCCGTGATGCTTCCGAGAGCCGCCTGCTGGTCATTTTCCAGCCCAAGCAGCTCAAACTGACTGTGGGTTCTGCCCCTCTTTCCCTCAGGCTGTTCTTCGTTGGGTCCCGAGAGGGCCACCTGCCCTCCCTCCTCTCCATGATCCACCCCAGGCTGCTCACACCAGTGCCCTCACTCATCTTCACCGTAAGGACCCTTGCTGCCTTTGGACAGGGCGTGGGAGGAAGGCTGTATTTCCCCGGGGAAGGTTTGGATTGACCCACAACATAGCAAGAAAGGAAGCGAAAGGAAAACTGACGAGCGATGGGGTTTTGGGGGGAGAGGGATGCCCTCCCCCTCGACCCTCATAGGCTTTGCCCAGGCTGAGTTCTGGTCTGAAGGACTGCAGGGGTGGCAAATAGCACCGCTTTACACCTTTTCTGGGCACGGAGTTGGGGGTTGGGGGCCTGTGAGATCAGAACAGGGGCTTGCAAACCAGCCTGCAGGTCTGGTGATGGCATCTGGGTACAGGGTGCCCGAAGCCTTTTGGGGTGGGGGTCTCAGGAAGAGAAATTTCCTGACTCTGGGCTGGACCCACCTCCACCACACATGCCCGGAGGCTGAACCTGTTGGATTCAGGACCTGCGCTTTACTTGGTTCACCTGGCCCAAGTCGACAGCTGGATTGCAGTAATCGGATCCAGGCATTTGCTTTGGTCGGTGTGGTCGTGGTGGCGGGGTGAAATACTGTACAGAAGAAACCCTGGGGGGCTCAAGGGGAAGACTTTCTTTCTTCCCTCTTGCATGTGATGGGTCTCCTTCTCTTCCTCTCCCTGCTCGGCTCCCCTTCCAGTGCATCATGACTCTGCTCTACGCCTTCTCCAACGACATCTTCTCGGTCATCAACTTCTTCAGCTTCTTCAACTGGCTCTGCGTGGCCCTGGCCATCATCGGCATGTTGTGGCTGCGTTACAAGAGGCCGGAGCTGGAGCGCCCCATCAAGGTGAGAGCCGTGCGGCACCCCCTCGGTTGCCGGGAGCCAGCTGCCCTCCTCCGCTCTGGAAAGGCTGCCTTTCTGGGATTCATAAGGGAGACTTGACCAGGAGGGGTGGGGCTCACCTTGCATCTTCAGGACCAAATAATAAGCTTTAGGAAGTGAAAGACCTGGTAGGACCTGGGGGGTGGGGAGAGAAAGAGAGAGGGGGGGCATATCTCCTCACTCTGCACTCTGGCACAGCCTTAGGTTTGGGCCTGTGGCTTAATTTTGGGAGAAAAGGTTCGTTCCCAAGCATAACTTGGCTGACTCCAGCTGTAGGTAGGCAGACTCTGTAAGGCATAGCCCAGCGTTTATCTTGGGGCCCAGATGATCCTCCTCCTGCCTCGCTCTGCTGATGTGGCGCAGAGAGTGTAACTGTTGGAGGACAGTCGAAAGCACTGCAGACTCGGCCTCTCGCCCGCGGGCGTCTCTCGCAGAGACCCTCCAGGGAAGGACGGTTGCGCAAAGCCACGCGGCGTCCACTCTGGGCCCCTCCTGAGCCGCCCGCCCTGGCCCTGATCGTTTCTCTCCTTGGGCTTCTCGTGGGCAGGTCAACCTTGCGCTGCCGGTCTTCTTCATCCTGGCCTGCATCTTCCTCATCGTCGTCTCCTTCTGGATGACCCCGAAGGAGTGTGCCATCGGTTTCACCATCATCCTCAGTGGGGTCCCGATTTACTACGTGGGTGTCTGGTGGCAAAACAAACCCAAGTGGCTCCTTCAAGGCATCTGTGAGTGACGCAAGGGCCCTCCGGGGCGGGGGCGGGGCGGGGGGCGGGGGGGGGGTCACCCGCAGGGAAGGACGGGGCTAATCCTCCCCAACCCCCGGGCGGTTGCAGCCAGGAGTCTTCTGGGGACTTCGAGACTCGCCAAGCCTGCCCGTTGTCACACGAGGGCTGCAGCAGACCAGTGGTGCTGAGGGCCACCCCCACCCCCGTGGCAACCTCTGCGGAAAACAAAGGGTCCCAGGATTTGTGAGCCGAAAGAAGAATTTGCCTCGGGTTGATATAAACCCAGGGTAAATTACATGCAATTCATTTTCTCTCCATTTCCTTAAGGGAGCATGTGAAAAATTACTACAATGCTACAATCTGCTTTAACTCAAACTTGGAAAAGTTATTTTTTTTCTTAAGGCTACAGCTTCTTGTGCTGGATTTTGGAATTTGCGGTCCAGAAAAGTAATTTTACCAAGCTTTCAGCCATTCCAGCCAATAGGCCTTGGCTTCTCCTCCTCCTCCTCAGGAGCCAACGCCGGGATCCCTCCTGGCTCCTGGGCTGCATTCTGTGTGCTCCACGTAGGAAGGAAAGAGCTTCTCTGGCGAACTTAGTCAGGAAGACTCTCCTTGAGGTGGGACTCAGGTCTTCCGTGCCTTCAAGGCCAGAAATGCCCCACGGCTTTCCCCCTCTGCCCTCCAAGCACAAGCGACAAGCGAGGCTGACCTCAGGCAGTCTGCACAGAGTTTTCTGTGGCCCTTCCCGTCCGGGAAGAATTGTGTTTCTCTCTCTCACACACACACACACACACACGCACACACACACATACCCCTACACACCCCTTTTTTCTCTTGCTCCCAGAAAAGCAGTTTTCGAAAGAGCTGTGGGTGCAAATATCAGCGAGTGAAGAATAGTCCAGGGCAGTTGGAATTAATCCCTTACGAGCGCCTTCATTAATTAATTGGAAAGTTTTTCTCCAGCGTAATGTGTCACTTGCCATCTCTGCCTCCCTCGGGGAGGTCTCCGTGGCCTCGCATCTCATGGCCGTCCTGCGTGGGGATGTGGGGAGGTGTAGTCCCAACAGGTCCAGAGGAGCCCAGTTTGTGGGTGACAGCCCATATTGTGTTTTTTTCCCCCACTGGTACTTGAGCAAGCAGGTTTTAGGGAATTATTTTCTGAGAGACCAAAAGGCTAGCACATTCTGTTGAGCCAGAGGAACAAAAAGCCACTTGAGACACCGTTTCCTGATTTATACCATTTTTCACATCCTGAAGGCAGCTTGTCTGGGAGCTGATTCTGCAAACTGAGTTTGGGACAGGGTGGAGAAGGCAGGCAGGGAGCGGCGTCACTCCCTCTGTCCTCACGCGCGTCACCCAGGGAGGAGGGAGAGCTGTGGAAGGGGGTGTCACCGCCAAGGGCCCTTCCTCGTCAGGGAGGCGAGGGCCGCTCTGCATTACTCGAGGCAGTGCCCGTTCCTGAGGAGGGCAAGATGGAGGCCGCCAGTGGCCCTTGGGCTGTGGATGGCCAAGGCTGGTTCCGGCGAGGCCCTGGCTGGGTCTCCCTCTGCTTCCGGACTGCTCTTGCCTCTTCCCGTTTCCACCCCCACCCCGTGCCCCCCCCCAGTGCTGGGCCAAGGCTGGGCTCCTGCGTGAGGGAGAACATCCCGCCCTTTGCGGCACAAACGAGGGGCGGGGGGGCAAGGGCCCCTGAAGCTCCCTCTGCTATGGACACCGCCTTCGCCTTCGGGGGTGGCGGAGACCTTCCCCAAACGTCACCTCCTCCTCCTCCTCCTCTTGTCTTCCCCCCCTCCCCAGACTCCACCACGGTCCTGTGCCAGAAGGTGATGGAGGTCGTCCCACAGGAGTCTTAGAGGTCGCAAAACGCACCTGCCTTCGGATCAAGCCAGCGCACAATATTATTTTCCGAACACGAGTATGTCTGATTCCTCATGTAAAGAAGAAAAAGCCTAGCCGGGGTCCCGTGGAGAGGAGCCCCAGAGCCCTGCGGCGCCTGCCCCTTCTCCCACCCACCCCCATCCCGCCTGACGACCTTCCTTCGCTCCAGCCGGGCGGCCGACAAGAAGCAGGAGGAGAAGTGGCCCCTCTTTGGGAAGAGAAGCCGGGACCCTCAAGGAGGCCCCAGAACCTGGGGCAACGTTTACACAGGAGCCTCGTGGAATTCTTGAGTCCCTTCGTTGAGTCAACCAACGAGTTACGCCATCCTGCGTTCCTTCACAGAAATCGCCAGCGAGGGCCTCTCCCACCCACCCCCACCCCCATCGCTGTCTTGGCGTTTGCAGAAAGAACGAAAACCGGTTGATCTGGCCGTGCAGGGTTTTCTTAGGGGGGGGGGAAGGTTGTCCTAAGCACGACACTCCTTGGTGCACACAGAGAAAGGCCCTCTCACACACAACCCCCCCCAAAAAAACAACAACCACAAACTGATCCATCAATGAGTCCTGACAGCCGCAGACTTGGCTGCCCCGACATGAACTGTTAAAAGTTATCGTTGTTACTCATTATTTTTTTAGGGAATCTAATGCTTTTTTTCCCCGCCTCCCTTGTAGTCCTGGGTTATGATGACTTAAAATAAACATTTTTTTACGTTCCTATCTTTGCAACCTCACGACTCTTCTGAGCCGCCATCGCTGATGCTTTGGGGGAGCAGCAAAAGCAATATCCCGCCAGAGGCGCTCTGGATCCCGTGCGGCACCATGTTTCGCCTCCACAATCTCTGCGATGGAACCGGACGTCCACATGTCGGCAGCGCCCCTGGCATGGCATCGGACCGAAACCAGAGCCCCAGCCTGCCCTCTGCTGCCTGGCCTCCCCTCCCTATTGGATCCGCAGCTAGAAGACGGGCTGACCAGGTGCCACCGACCGTCGGCCCCCAACCTTTCAGCCCCTCCATTACTCTTCTTTTGGCACAGAATGTGGCACGTCCTCATGTCACGGCTTGGAAGGTCAGAATAAGGTCCCTGCGTGGTGGTGTCGCAGGGGAAAGAGTTCAGCCATCCTTGGGGGTGGGGTGAGGAAAGGGCAGAATGTGGACTTTCCAGGAGGGTTGCTCTTTGTGGCACTTCCGTGTCCCCTGGGCAGTCGTGGTCGAGCACGTTGACCCTCCAGGGCATCTCTGCCACCAGCTCAGCAGACCACTCTGGGCTTGGGACCTTCGCCCTCCTGGTGGCCACTTTACCTCTTTGTAAGTCAGGAGGAAAGGGTGGCCCCCAGATTGTCTGTTTTCTGTGCACATTTTCTGTATTTTGGTTTGGTTTCGCTGCTGGTGAGATGAGAACGGACGGAAAGCAAGCTCTTTCTGTGTTTGAGGGAGGCCAGCTTTCCAGGCGCTAGGGAGGGGGGAGGGGGGCAGCATGACCCTGGGGAGTCCTGCTGTCCAAGGCCTGGGGCTTCCTGGGCTCATCGGCCCCGTTCTGTCCCACTTGCTTGGACGGGGAGGGCTGTCGCTGAGCTGGCAGGAGCTTCCAAAGCACCACTTTCCTCTCTGTGGCCTCCATCCATGAAACGTTTCATGGGATCCATGCCTCCACAGATGCAGCTGTATCAGTCTTCTGTATCAGTCATTTCTAAGGTGCCTAACACCTATTGATTGTTTTGACGGAACATAAGTTGTGGTGGGACTGGCGTTTGCAGGCAGGAAGCCCCCTTCTTTAAAGAAGGAAGGTGGCCTTCCACCTCTCAAATGGTTGAGTTTGCCTCCCAGCCAACCATGTTCTGCTTCATCTCAGTCAACCGTTGGCACTAACCGGGGCTTCTCTTAAGTGCCAAACAGCAGCTTTGGGAAGGAGAGCTGAGGTTTTGTGTGCTCGGCATAGGCTGGGGGTCAGAAGAGCTGAATTTGGTAGATTTAAATGGATAGCACAGAGGTGGCTTGAGTTTACTGCAGCTTTACAACCATCGTAAAGTCCAACAGTTGACCTTTGTAAACATTTTGCTAAGAAGCCATTTACAGTATTTTCTTCACTTGGTGTGGACGTGCCATCAGTCCAGCCCTTCCCTGGAAAATCCTGGATTTTTTGGAGATGAGAAAGCAGGGAAGTCCCGTCGGACAGCTTTTCCTTGGGATGAAACACCCACGTTGTTGTTATTGTAAGAAGTCAGGGTGCCCAAGATGTAGTCCAGTGATCCAGTTCCTTTCGTACAGCTGACACACTGTGGTTGTGGTGTAAGGTCTGGTCCTTTTGAATGGGGAGACCATCGAGGAGGAGGAGCAGGCATCCTGGCACATTCATAGGTCTACTCTGAAGTAAGTCCTGTGGAGGTCAGCACTGCTTGTTCCTTAAATGTGTACAACCCTGCAATTTTTGTCGTCTTCGTGGCATTGCCAAGCTATCCCATGCTCAAGCACAGGGCCCGTATTGAGTGTCCTCGGTTTTACAATACACCCCTCTGTTGCTGCTGCTGCTGCCGCGGAGAGGTTTTTCAACGATTTTATCACCGTAATTTTGAGATGCCTGAGGTGGGAAATGCCAGTCTCAATGCTCCAGTGGGTTTTTCTCCCCAGCCGTGCCCTTGGGCAGCTGTCCGTTTAAAGAAACCTCACCTGACTAATCAAGTGAGTTTTAGGTAATTAAGTGCACCCTCAGTTAAATATAATTTTGAAGAAGGAGCGGTGCTTTCAACATGTTGGCGGTTTTCCCTGTGACTCTCTCTACCGTCCCCCTCCCTCCCCTCTGCCAAAAGCGTTGCCTGGGTTCGTGTGATGAAAGGGCAGCTCCTGCACCCACGCCTGGATTGGTCCCTGCCCTCCTGCCACTTTCTCCTGCCTGATCAGGGGTCTCTTTTCTCTTGGTTTGGTTGGGTTTGGCCCTGGCGATAGAACCATAGGACAAATCCATTAAAGAAGCCTTGGGTAGGTGACCAGCTATTTCATTGTAAGGCCCGCGAGGGCCCTCTTGCTTTGCCGGGTGATTTCCTGGGCTGTTCAGGCTGCCCCCCCCCGTCACGGTGGACAGAAGGGTTGGATCTGGTCCCCAGTGGCAAACTCTGGATGTGGACCCCAAAAGTAAAGGATTGCAGCGGTCATGCAGGGTCAGTTCCCTGGGGGAGTGAGGGCCCCAAGTAGAGGAGGCCAAGACAGGTGGGTGCCCAGAAGGGCCAGTGAGCCTGACATCTCCAAACGTCTTAAGACATACAGTATTACCCTGTTTCTCTGAAAGTAAGACCTAACCTGAAAATAAGCCCTAATATGATTTTTCAGTATGCTCATAATATAAGGCCTACCCCAAAAATAAGCCCCAGTGAAGTGAAACCCTGCCCTCCACCCTTGTGCATCAACCAGAAGAAGAGGGCAGGACTGTATTTGAATAAATGTAGATGGTTATACATGGAAAAAAAATATAAAACATCCCCTGAAAATAAGCCCTAATGGGTTTTTTGGAGTAAAAATTAATATAAGACCCTGTCTTATTTTCGGGGAAACACGGTAGGATTTTAGGTCCTATGAAAAAATGAGAAGCTGCCCTCATGAATCCCACTTCTTAGCACTTACAGATGTGCCCTGGCTTTTCCCTGGGAAAGGCCGCCAGATGGGCCTGGAGGTCCGTCACTCGGAGACCAGAGCGAGCCAGTCGTTTTTCCTCGCAACGTATTTTGGTGACTAGTTTTTCTTGAATATTGTACACGAGGGTTCTGAAATATCCTTGTTTCCCCATCAGAGTTGTAGCGTTGTGAAAGACAGACAGACGAATAGCCAGTTATGGGTTGTCTTGTTGTCTGTTGTGGTGCCAAGAAAGACAGGATTTCATTGCTGGGGCGCCACGGTGGAGCCACATGGCTGTGGGGTGTGTTTCTCATTTGTTGTGACTGCTGTGCATTGTGTATAGTGTCCTGGGGCAACAGTGCAACAAATATTTCATCCATTTCCATTGTTGCAACATCCGTGTTACTTATGTTGTTTTCCACATTTTGGCTTCAAAGGAATCTGCTGCTAATATGTTTCCCGTTCCCAAAGGGAGTACAGTACTGGGTCAAAACCTGGCTACCTGTGGCAGATTCTCAGTTTAAGAAAACAGTTTTTTTAATGAGAAACATGTCTCATTTTCCTCGGAAAGCTCAGCCGGTGCCTTTCCTTGCACTTTGGCAAAAATCTTTTCCAACCTGGAGACCTTCACGTGGCGTTGGGCTGGCAGCTCCCGCCCTCCTTCCCTCCTAGAGTGGCCCACACAGAGCTCCTGCGGCGTAGCCCGGATCTGGGCCCCAAAAGATTTTGTGCCTGGGGTGGGTTCCGACGCGAATGGTTCCTGCACAAAACCCTTTTAATTCCGACTACTTCTTCCCAAGGGAAGAAGGGCTGCGTGGAAGGCAGAGGTGGGGCACGTGTCCAAATGGAGACCAGATGTGGGGGGCCCAGCGTGGGGTTCTGGCCACCCCTTTTTCTCACCAGTTCCCTTGTCAGGTGCAGACAACATGCAGAACCCCAGGAAAAGGGCCCGGGAGTCTGCGGCCCTCGGCCTGTTTCCCTTCCCGTGTTGGTGGATATCTGTTGCTGGAGTCACTGACCATTAGCCCTGCTGGCTACTGGGGCTTTTGGGAGCGGCAGCCCAAAACACACCCCTTGAAGGGCCCAAAGTGAGGAGCCCTGCAGGCCAAGAGACTTTCGCTGCAGAGAATCCTGACGGCCCTTCTGGCCTTTTCTCACTGGGTTGGGAGAGGAAGTTTGACTTTCTCTCTCCTCTCTGTGTCAGCCGTGGAAAAGAGGTGGTCGGTCGGTGGGTCGGTTGGTCGGTCTTGCCTTGCTCCCTCCAGTCAGGAAGAGCAAACCCCTCACGGGTGTTCCTGGCCCGGGCCTTCTCGACGCAGAAGGGGGGGCCTTCATGCTGTTCAGCATCCTCTGTGACTCCTTAGAGATCTGTTTTCTTTCACTTAGTGGTGGTTTTTTTAAAGAAATGTTTGCAACATAAGAAAAATGTAAACCTAATTTAAAGAGTTTCTTTTTTTGTTACACTTCGAAAAAAGTATTTTTACTAATTTTATGACTGCTACATTTTCAAATGAGTAAATATTTTAAACATGTCAGTACAGAAAGTGAGGTTTTATTGTTACAATGTTGCATTTTATTTTATTGTTGCATTTGTCTGTAGCGTTTTTGTTTCCAGATTTGTGCTGCTTTAGTTTTTCTCAGTTCTGCTCAGCCTGGCCTTGTAACAGGGAAGCACTGAACGCAAGAGTGTGTGTCTTTTTTCCTCCCTCTCGTTCTCATTCTCTCTCTGCCTGTGTTCCCTGGGACTCTCCAGTGTTCCTGACTAACCATTTGCTGTTACACTTTGAATGTCCTGGTTTTTATTTGAACAAAATATTCTGAATTACAACATTGGTCTTTTGGCTTGAAGACTTTTTTATTTACTGTATTTGCTTTTCTTAAAAAAAATCATCTTCATCATAATTCGGCTTTGCTCTTTCCACAACGTCTCAGGCAACCGCAGTGTTTGTGCCTTGTTGCTTCCTTACTCCGAGAGGGAAGCAGAACGAAGCCCCTGCCGGCTGAGAATAGGGAGGAGTTTAGGCCTCTCTCCACAGTGCACTTGAAG